TTGCTCAATATCTTTTCATGTTAAAAATTCCATGTGTTTAATATAATATCTTTAATGCAAATAATGATGTGTTTAAGGAAAATAATGATGTGTTTAATGTAAATATATTGATTCCAATCTTTGTATGGGATTAATTATTTATTGTTTTCTTTAAAAACAATTGTGGCACAAGGCCAATGGAAAGTGGGGTAAGTCTGTTCATTAACTCTCCTAGATCTAGATAACTAGATTCCTGACCCATTCAATCATTACAATTTGCTCATTTACCGCAAGAACTCATCCATCAACATTCAATCCTTATATATACCACAATAACACATCTTCCCAGGGTACCTACAAAAAACCTTTGACATAAAAAGTTCTTTATGTAAAAAAAAGTTCAAATTGCCTCTGTTTTTCCCATGTTTTTTTTTCTTATAAAATATATATAAAACTATATAAAATATCCTGATGGTGAAATTAAGAGGGAGGGGATGAGCTCAAAACAATATAACAAAACATTTAAGCTAAAAATAACATATGTTAGTAGATCCTGTCACCCCACACAAAAAAATGAGAGTAACCGCTCTATTCTGCCTTTAGACAGAATCAAGGAGCGCATACAATAACGAAGAGGGAAGGATAAAAAATTAAATGATGGCGTGAGCAAATCAAAGACTCAGTTTAAAAAAAAATAAAAGGGGACAAAAACAAATTGGCTGGGGAAGTTGGAAATTTTGACATGGGTCCTACCAAAAGAGAATGCCGGGAGCAGGCAGGAAACAACACTTACTCACATTAACTAGGTTAACAGAGGAAGTCTAAATTAACCTGGTGGGGGTTCACAGGAATCCGCCCCGTTGCGTTAAAGGGGAGTTAAAAAAGAAAACCAAGGCTGAACCCGTTCACACGAACCAAGATCGCCACATTTACCCACCTTCTGCTGAAATCTATTGAGAAAAAACGCTATGTATGTAAATTACAAATCGGAGTTACCAAAATCAAACAAGTACAAAAATTTTAATATCTGGGACGTGTTTTAACAGAGAATGGAAAGTGCGACACTGAAATCCGAAGAGGCATTGGGATAGGCAAAGATGCATTCCAAAAGCTATACAAAGTAGGGGGTATACTGGAACGCACCCATTCTATAGTTAATAGACTCTCCCACCTATAATAAGTAGGAGTAGTAAGAGTAACGAGGCGGTCGGTTAGTGAGTCGACTGGCTGATCGGTTGAACTCTCTGCCTTCAGGCGGGGAGGAACTCGATAGAGGCTACGCCGAAGGGCGGATTCTCTTTCGGGGAGGTAAACCGACCCTGAACCCGTTTATACGGGTTCAATGGGCATATTTTTGGCGGAGCCCACGGGCTCGGAGATCCCACGTTAAAAAGGTCTTTTGCCACATGACGCCCTCGTGGGGCGGGGTGTGACTAAATATCGTCGGTCAGCGAGTCAGTCGATGTCGGACGACAGTTAGTCGAATACGAAAGTAGTCAGCGACAACAACAAGATTACTCTGCGTAATACCTATTATATCAAGTTCCTAACGTTTTGTACATCGAACCTATTTTAGGACCGACTTGGTACAAAAACAAGCCTCCACTGCGAAATAACTCCACAACAGTAGAAAAACACAGAAAGAACTTCACTAGAAACAAAGAAAAGAATAATGAACTGTGCCCTCATCTATGGCAGTGAATGCTGAACAATTTCTTCAAAAGATGAAGGTACTTGAAAAAACAAACATGTGGCACTTTAAAGCTAATTTTGATGGGTTTTTTTTCACTAAACTGAGCAGTTTGGTTCCGCAGAAGAATGCTGAGGACACCATGGGCCGAATATTTGAGCAACGACGAAATTTGAGAGGAAATTTATATCTAACATCAGGAACTGTCAACTGGAATTTTCTAGGGAGCTTAATGAGGAAAGCGGGCTTAGAACATCTGATATTCACAGAACCGATTAAAGGCAAAAAGGCCAGAGGAAAACAAAGCATAACATGCTTAGGGCACATGTGCAAATAGATTCCAGAACTGGGTTTAGGAGAAATAACAAAAAGACAAAAATCTACAAAGGGCAGGAAATTGTGGTGAGTCATCATCGCCGACCTCCTGAGGACATACGTCACGTAAAGAAGAATATAAGTATTTTAATTATGGACGAACATTGACCATTTTTTTGATAATGTTTTCCAAAGAGAATTTAAATTTCAATTCGATAAACTATCAAATTGCAATTTTAACTATAACCGAGTTATTGACATGGAGTTTCAACTTGCGCCGTTTCATCTACCGTTCGAACCTCTACCATCAGATAACTAAGCCAGAATTACAAAAGTTACGATTCTGAGAAATGAAGACAGGAGTTGTTTCTAGCATCAATCATCGTAGGAAATATCTGAGCTTGGCTTGAAAACTGAACTCTTCTGCCGGAGAGAAATACTGGGCTGTCTAATCCACCAAGCAGGAGGTTTCTGAGATGTATTCTTTAGTTCTACATAAATTGTTTTACGTTTGCATGTGTTTTTGTTTGCTTACTTGCTCTAAAATATTAAATATTGATTTTGAAGCTGGACATTTCCTTGTCACATATTTGTATTTTTGCTTGTTAATTTCAATTTCGTTTTTTATTATTGTTTCTCTATTTTGTTTTCTTCCCTTATTTCTTTTCATGATTTTAACTTGGACGAATTTGTTTATCTTTTGACGGTTTATTTAATTCAATTTAATTCAAGTTTTCCACCATTTTCTTTCTATCCTTTCATTTGCTTCATTTTTTAAGTTTTTCTCTCTAATGCTTTTTTTATTATTTGTTTTACGTTTTCCTATGTTTTCTGTTCTGTTTTTAAATCCCTTTTCTTCGTTTTTTTTCCATTTTTCTTTCTATTTAGTTGATTCCCTCCAATTTCAATTCATCAAACTCTGTCTTTCCTTCTTTTGATTGTTTTTTTTTTTCTGTATGTACCTTTCTTTCTTCATTTTGACCCTTATATTTTAACGTTTGTTTTCTCGGTCGTTTTTTTTTCTTTTTTTGTCTGTCTATTTGAATATCTGTCTGTCTATCAGGCTGTATGTCTTTCTTTCATACGACCGTTATTTTTTTAACTTTTATTTTCTGGGACGATTTCCCTTCTGCTATTTTTTTCTTTCTTTCTTTCTTTCATTCCCACTTTCTTTTTTTCCTTTGGTCATCTTTTTGTCTTTACTTTTCATAATTTTGGTTTATTTTTCTTTCTTTCTTTCATACGACCATTATTCTTTAACTTTTATTTTCTCGGTTAATTTCCCTATTCCTTTTTCTTTATCTTTCTTTCTTTCTTCCTTTCTTTCTTTCTTCCTTTCTTTCTTTTTTTCTTTCATTCTGTCCTTTCTTCTTTCTTTCCTTCCTTTGATTGTCCTTTTGTTTTTGTACGTTTTATATTTTTACTTGATTTTCCTTTCTTTGTCCATTTCAACTTTGTTTCTTACATTCTTTCTGTTTTCCTTTTCTATCCCTTTCTTCTTTCTTTTTTTTTTTTTTGATCGTTATTTCTTTACTTTAAATTTTCTATCTTTAACGTTTGTGTTTGCCTGAGAACTTTCTTTTTTCTTTCTGTTTTTTTTTTTTTTTTTTTTTTTTTTTTGATCATTCTTTTTTTTTTTTCTCTCATTTTACTAAGCCATCCTTCAAATTCTGGATTTTTCTTATTTATTTCTTTTTGACCCGCTCTTTCCCCTCGCATATTTTTCTTAGTTCTTCTTTATTCTACATTTTTTTCTCTCTTGTTTCTGCTTCCCCCTCTTTCTCTTGGCCTCTATTACTTTCTTTTATTCTCTTTCTTTTCGTTTGGGCTTTCTTCCCACCATTCTTTGCCAATTTTTCCCCTTATACCCGATTTCTTTAGAATCTCACATCTTCATTGCTATCTTTGGCAAAATAAGATTTATAAGAATTTCTGTTTCTTATGAACCAACAAATACGAGTAATCAAAAATTTGTCGTGTTCTTTGACAGGGTCGCACATTTTATTTAAAGTGACTAACAGTTATTTCAAGAAATTAATTTGTTGGAGAGACAGAAGAAGCCAAAATGAAGAATGACAAAAGAAATAAGAAAAAGATTGAAATATGAATATTTCTGTGTATAGATGCACAGAAGAGAAATAATTCCTTCTTAAAATAAACCTTCAAAAGTTAAGAAACAGAAAAAATGATGGTTGTCAAATTTTTGTTATAAAAATACCGAAAACAAGAAAGAAAGAAAGAAAGATTGAAAATAAAAGAAGAAAATTTGGGAAAGAGAGGAAAGAAGAAAAGTGAAAGGAAAAATGGGAATGAGAGGAGAAATAAATACAAATTAAATTGAGAAAGAATCAATGAAACGAAGAACTGGAGAAAAACTCAAGAAACAAAAAAAGAAAAGGAGTACAAACTGAGAAAGACGGAAAAAGTTTTAAAAGAATGACAAAGGAATGATTGAGAAAAAAAACAGAGGAACATTTGAAAAAGAGAAAAAGAAATTGAGAAGGAAAACAAGACGAGAAAGAAAAAGAAAAAATGAAGAAAACCTGAGAGAAAAGGAAGAAAAGTTGATAAAGAATATATTTCGAAAAAGAAAAAATATAAAAAGAAAAATTTCAAAATACAAGAAGAAGCTTGCGAGAGAAAGAAAGAAAGAGAGAAAGAAAAAAAAAAGAATGATCGATGAAACTTTACTCCACTGCACAACGATTTTTTTAATGCACAGATGGTGCAATAATTTATCTTATTTTTTATTAAGAGAAAAAGTTTTATTCAAAAGAAATACGTCTGCTGAATAAATATTATTATTATTATGTGTGTGTAGTTGGTGGTAGCATTAAGAGAAAGATGCCTCTAAAGCGCTTTCTCCTTTTTTCAGAGAAAGTTTGGTTATAAGTGATCGAACAAATGACCCTGTGTCCATTTTGTAGCTTCGATTGTATTGCTGGCCGCAAATATAGAGTCAGTGACCCTTGTTCTGATCTTAGATCAAACGATGGGACTTAGGATTCCTCATGTCATGTCACATTCAACTGATTTTTTTATTTGTCAGTTTTCTCACGAACTTCACTCTTTCTTAACCTTTATCTCCCTCACCCTCTTTGTCTCTATCTCCTCTCTCTTTTTTTCTCTCTTTTTCTCTCTCTCTCTATCCTATGTTAATACCCGTCCTATCAAAAAAAAAAAAAACTTCAAAAATATTCATTTCTTTTTTTTTCTCTCGATCCGTTTCATTTTTGTAACTGACTTTTATATAGTTTCAAGTTTATATTACTCATCTCTTAAATCATTCATTTGTTTGGTTCAGTAATTGCTTTTTTAAAATTTGTATTCGTTTTTAATCTCTTGGACTATAGTCCTCATTATTTATCACAGAAGTGTCTGCCAAGGTAATTGTCGTGTTTATTTAAGCGTTGGTCTGTGAATTTCCTAACATAGTAATTGCGAGTTCAATCTCTGGGCCGGGCAGTACAGAATTAGACTCGATGGAAACAGAACGAACAATAACAGAACAATATTAAATAAGTACCAGAAAATTTATCCTTATACAATGACTACAAATCGAGAAAAATCTGTCCCGTAAATTATATCAAGTGTCCAGTTCGAAAATATTTGATAATTAACTGGATGAGCAAGCACCTGAAGAAGACCGAAGCGCACAACGACTGAAACGTTTTGATAACAACAACAAAGATGAAGACAATGGGCTGAATTTAAATAAGAAATTTTATTCGTTTTTTATGAAATTTCTTTGAGTCTTTTAAAGTATTTTTTCTTTTTTTATCTTTCCTAGACTTTGTAGAATTAGCATTTTAGTGTTTCTCTTTCTCTTCATTGCAACTTGATTTAATATTGTCAAATATTCCTTTTATAATTCCTCTTTTGTTGTAACATCACTTATTCTTTTATTTTTCTTTCATCCTCTCTCTCTCTCTCTCTCTCTCTCTCTATATATATATATATATATATATATATATATATATATATATATATATATATATATATCATTTTGCTCTCCGTCCTTTTTTTCTTAAAAGAGATTGTATTTCCTGTTTAGATCCGGATATCAATTTCGGCGAGGAATATAAGTAGACTGATTTCAAAAGCTGTCATAAACAAAACACTTGAGATAATGTCATTGTAATGATATGCTTCATTTGATTATTAACCCTTTCTAGGTTATTTAACAACAGAATATATTATAAATTAGCAGAAGAATTCTATTTTTATTTTCGAATCAATATTGCTTTAAGAATCTTATATTTTAGAATAACAATGGTTTTTCATATACAGGGCCTTTTATTTACATAATAGCTGGGGCCAACGATGGTTTCATACGTTTCTTAAAATTATTTGCACGTAAGTGAATATAACGACACCAACTGGAATTCGAACTCAACTCGCCAGTTTCTCATTCTATGCGTTAAACCACCCTCACATCACTTGCAATCCACGCAACAGAATTCCCATCTAAATATTAGCCAGGTTGTCATTTAGACTAAAACCCCGTTTTTAATATTAATAAAAAGAACACTGTATATAGGATGGCTTTTTTATGATTAGATTAGTTATATGCCGAGTCAAATTCGGGATGTTTTGCATAGTTCTCAGTCAGTCGCAATTCCTACCCATTTATGTCAAATTTATTATACTGAGGCGACAGTAGATAATTAGGAGGAACTATGAATATATGTAAGAATACATGAAGACAAAAGGGATATTTACAAAAACAAAAAAAAACAAACACTGAATGCATTAGTCGTCCATAGTAATGACGACAATCATATATTGACTTAAAGGTTTAAAAATAGGCGTAAATGTATAGAAAGGGCCCTGATTTCCGAGTCTTACACACAAATATTCGTTTCCTTCCTCAACACATCTACTGCTATCAGAATGTGGGATTTTTTATATACAACAGCATTAAAAACATAAACAAAGGTGTTGGGAAGCTTACTAACGTCGACTGACTTGTCTGTCTGGACACAACAGGCGCCATTATGGGAAGCTTAGATGTGGCACAAGGCCGAAAGTAGGGGGCATCCAAATATTTACGCAACGGGACAAAGTAAAGAGTGTGAAAGATAAAGAACTCGAAGGAGACATCCGGGATTGAACCGGAAAGCCCTCAGTCTGCAGTCGAATGCTCTACCACCCACACCATACGTATGTATAATCCTATTAATAAGAACATTAACCCTTTTGAGCCCTATGTTCCTGAACAATTTTAACCATCCTGCCTGAGCTCCTGAGTCAAAATTCGCAAACAATTGGTATGTAATGTTTGACGGTAGTTATAAAAATGATTACAATTGTTTACCTACCGTTCAACCGGTGACTGGACATTAAGACATTTTTCTCTGCCACTTTTCAACAAGTGCCTGGGTTTTACGTCATTTTTCTCTCCCACCGGTAAAACGGCGGTTAGGGCTCCAAGGGTTAAATCCTGAAGAATTTATTTTGAAGAATTAAAGTCATTACATATAATTTCCATTTGTCATTCAATTTCCCACGATTAG